ATATATTCAGTTGATGTTTGTGTATCCATCAACGCATGAACATGTATGTTTATATACCTCAATGGCATTGGTGCTGAGACAGTCTCAAAAGGCAGACGGTGAAGGAGAAGGAACAATCGAGCCGTATGTATGTAGTACGTTCGTGCCGAATCATCGCCCCAATGCGCACCATCACAAATATGGCATACAGGGCCCAAGCCGGCACTTTGGCCGCACAATAGTATTACATATTCTTCGCTACTACGCTAGCATAACAGCATTACCCTTTGGCTACGACGACTAGCTGGCTACCGGCTGCCTGCTACCACGTACCAGCTACCACTTACCATCTCGCGCGGCAATGTTCACCGCATTAGTGGCTACCATTCACCATACGTGACTACGAGGCTAGCACAAACACCTTCACCTGAATCGAAGCGTTCGTTCCATGTGTCTTGAGGTTCAGTCACTTCGGTTGGACGTACTGTTTTGTATATATGTCGTTGGCGCTGATATCTGTACCTATGCCTCGCGCACAGCCTGCTATGCCCGGAACGGATCTGACCCACAAGCAACTACTCTTTGTCAACTTCGCCCGAGTCTGGTGCGGTAAAGGGAGGCCTGAGGCCAACGAGCAACAGGTTTTAAGGGGTAGGTGGAACGGACTTGCCCTTTGTTGCAGGCGACTGTTCATACAACAAATGCATCTACCAGACGTGTTTGGTACACTGGGGGGGTAAAGGGCTAAACGTTAATTTGATATTTCTTTTATTCTTGTTGTTCTTGTTCGTATGTTTACAAAAGCAGTGGTGTTCTCCGTGAATACGTAGAATGATCAAGCACACACCGCTACCTATTGTTAGATGCTTTGCTTCTGCTCCATACTTGCCCCCGTGATTGACCTTTCACCATTTGCTTTTCACCCGCTTATTCAACAATCCACCAGTCTAGCGTACCTTCGGGGTTTATGTATTCCATTTGTTTATTTGGTCATTTAATTTTGTATTCAAGTATGGTTTGAGTATGGTTTGAAACACTTTTTCTAGATTGTAATTCCTATAGATTCAGACTGTGCAGCCAGCCCTTGTATTCTCGGCACATTCCGAAACACGGAAGAAATTGTTATCGTTTCTATTCGAGGTAACAGATTTCCCGTCTACTGTATATATGTATATATATATATATATATATATATAGTATGTACTATAATATAGTATAATATATAAACATTCGTTTTGTTGTTTCTGCAGATCCGCACAGTCCACCACAGCATCGTGTGCTGGGTACATTAGCAAATATGAAAGAGTTTGCCGAAGCTTTCAACTGTCCCGTGGGGTCTCGCATGAACCCAGACAGACAACGGTGTAAGGTGTGGTAGCTCTAGCACGGCTTCTGCTGAACCGTCAGGTGTCAGGAAGTTTGGTGCATCATATATATATACTATCGATATAGACTTCTTCAGATTGTTGATTAGCTTTTGGCGGGCGGTTTTATGACGGATTTGATTGGTTGTTGGGTTGCGTAGCCAGTTCTGCTGAACTGTAAGACATCTAGGTCTGGCACACTTACTAAATATGCCGCAGCCTACAACCGCACCTAAACCCACACGCTCAGGTCTGGCGCGAGCTGAGCAAATCAAACGTGTTACGGCTTTGACCTACGTTTGTTGGGGGGAGGGGGGGGGGGAGAATACTAGTGACCAATACATACTGATATCTCAAAGGCACTACGCAGTCATTCGCTGCTAGAAAAAAAGCACTTAGCGTACCATACTGTCAAGTGCTGGCGGGCTAGATGCCGAGAACTGAGTTAGTCTGCGCTAACACACACTGCGAGTACTTACACGTGTGTGTTGTACGCATATGCCGTGGTCAGCCGATACCGTTGAGCGTGTCGTATGCCGGCGACACAACGGCACGTAACTAGGTTGTGGGATTATGACGAGCATCGACTGGTAGGGCTGATGTTGCATATCTCACAGTACCTACACCCTGCGGCACCAGTCTGTGACTATAAACACAGTGGCGATATCAGACCAGCCTCATATGGTAGTGCTCATCACAAGGTAGATTCTCAGGGTCAGTTGTCCTATCTGTACAGATCGTGATTTATCACGCATGATCTATAGTCTCGAGTATGTTGGGTAATATACTATCGGACCGCTGTTGCATACAGTTGTGTAGCGTTGCGATGAGACCAATGCCGTACTTCTGTTGCCAGGCTACGGCTGCTTACAGAGTGCGCTGGTAGCAAAGTGGGCTTGCCATATTGCCTGAGAAGTTGGGTTCGCCTTATCATATCACTATAATATAGTCGGCGATCCGCGACTGCCTGAAAAAGGGCATGCCAGTTCTTGGATAACTGCTCACTCGTTGTACTCACTTACATTTCATAGAGATCACGCGTAGTGCGGTGACATGCTTTGTCGCCGCATCTATGGGGTTCAGGTCAGATTTACGTATACAGGCCAAGTACTCTATAGACGGGTTTGGTGTTGGTTTACCTATGAAGGGGTGCCCTATGTCTAATTGTAGTCTGTTCAGGCGAGAGCACGATCGCACACAGAGGCACCTCTCATAGCCACATGTTCCGAACATCATGGACCCCCATATATCTGTGCTTTCACGGGGAGTAGGAGCTCGCAGACCCGTGTGGTCGAGGTCAACGGTGGTTAGAGTGCATGCTCAGGGACGAGAATGTTTTTCTTGACCTCTGGACCTCGTTTACGCGAAATAGACTGTGCGTAGAACGCGATATAGACGCTGAAGGAGTGGGTCACAGGGTGTGACTGTGATCCCTGGACAAGCGAAGATGTAGAGCCCAGTCAGAGAGATCTCCGTGAGAAGGGAAGGCAGACTGCCGTGGTTGAGCAAGCCCATTGTCATCTGTATATCACACTACAGCATCGCTGGCGAGTGGAGGGCTATATCTGCGAACACCATGAACCGCAAGTAGTCAAGGTGATTTCTAGCACATACGCAAATGGCCTACATGCGTAAAACTATACATAAGCAACTATATATACGACACAGCGCTCTACAACAAATAAACTCTATATCGTAGAGCAGGTGGTGTATTCTGGTGGCTGATCGTCCTGTTAATCATAGCAAAGTG